CCCCCCCCGCCCCCCGGTCCCCGGCGAAAGCCTCACCGCCCGTGGGGTGGGGGCTGCCCGCGTCCAGGGGGCGCCCCGGCCCTGCCCCTCCTTGTGGAGCTTCCCCTCCCGCAACGAGAGGACCTCAGCGGGCTGAGGCAAGCACTGACGTGAAGTCCGGGCGGGTGAGGAAGGGCATGCGGCCCCCAGGCCTTTGGCCTCCGGCGCCCTCCCCCCCCCCCCCCCCCCCCCCCCCCAGGACACCATATGATGCCAAGGCTGCTGCCCCGGGGCCAAGAGCCTGGGCCTCACCGAAGGATCGCCGTTAACGCACCGAGCATGGGCCACGCCCGGCGGAAGATGACTTGCTTTAAAGGGTGGCCGGAGAGAGATGCGCAGCGGGAGGCAGGGCCCCGGTCCAGGTGCCCGGCCCGGCCTGCAGCGGGCACGGGGGGCGGCAGCCGAAGAAAAATGGGAAGACCGCTTGGCGCGGAGCGAGGGCACCACCCATGCGCGACGAGGACGCTGCACGCGGAAAAAAAAGGAACACCCGAGAGTGCGGGCTCGCCGCCGGGCCAGAGCCAGAGCCGGCCCCCACTCCGGGTCCGGTGCACAACCAGGTATCCGACGCGCCCGACCAAATTTGGGAAGGCCCCGCCGACGCACCAGGCCAAGGTGAATTGGCATACCGCACGCCTGGGGAAGGGCATCCCCCTGCTGAAGCCCTCGCCTCTTCACCTTGGTCTCCTGCCTCCCCCCCCCCGGGCCAGGGTCGCTGGCCAAGAGTATGATGTGACCCGACGACGCTCCGGGGGCCGCGCGACCACGCCGCACGCGTCCTAACCCCCCCCCCGCCCCCCGGCAGCCGGGTAAATCCCCGGCGTCATTCGGCCAGAACATGGAACATATGGTCACCCTGTCCCGCCAGGGACAAGGCTGGGAACGTGCGGGCCGGGGGGGGGGGGGGGGAATAATAATCACACTCCCTCTTTCACACACACCCATGCACGCTCGCCAGGCTGACCAAGGATGCCGGGGATCGGAACACCGCACATCTTACCGGCCCCCGCCTCCCCTCTCCATGAGGCCGCCTTCTTTCGGTGCGGCACCAAAGGCGAGCTCGGCCCCCGTATCTTCCCCCCCCCCCCCCGTGGGCAGCGACGAAATAATAACAACAATGATCCGCTCATGGCGGCTGACCCACCCCTGCCCTGGTCCCGGGGGCGAGCAGGGGGAGGGGGCGACACAAAGCACCTTGCCTCCGCTCAGGCCAATACCCCCCTCTCCCCCGGCTCCTGCTCCCTGGCCTACAGACCGGCCCCACGAGCCCATTTATGGAGGAAACGCTCGCACACACACACACACACACACACGATCGCGCGCACATTCATTCGGGCGCATGAATATAAATAGCCACAGGGGGACCGCCCAAATACCACCGTCAGCGGAGTGGCCACATTATATGCACGCACGCACGCACGCCCGCCCCCCCCCCCCGAGCCGTGGGCGCATGTGTCTCGGCGGTCCCCGCACACCGCTGACTCTCCGCCGACGATATCGGCGGCCATGTGAGCGCGCAGGGCCGGGGGGGGGGGGGGGGGATTGCTGCCCACACAGCCCCCCCTCAACCTTTCGCCGCCCGATGATTGACCCGATTTGGCCAGACATTCCCCCCCTGGCCACATGCGCCGGCCGTGGGGAGCAGCCAGGTGTTGCGACGCCTCGCCCAGCCTGATCCCCCCCCCCCCCCGGCCCCGGTCATGATCTTGCGGCGGACCCGGGGAGGTATGAATGCCGCTCCCCCCCCCCCGGTGTGTGGGCACGGACCAAATGTTCCGCTCCGCCAGAGGTCCGACAGCGCGCAGGTCCCGCACAGACACAAAGTCCCGACGAAAGCCGCGACTGGAAACAGCACAGACACGAGCGATTACCACCGACCAGAGCCCCCATATAACTGCCGCCTTTTGTGCGAGGGGCCTACCAACCCTCATCCTCCACCGCCCTCCGGCCTGCGGACTCAGCCCCCTCCAGGCCATCCGGCGGATGACCTGCTCCGCCGCCCGACGCCCCGGGAGCCGGCCCGGAAAAAACCCCATATGCTAAGCCGGTCCGTGGTCCGTCTCGTGACTACGCGAGGGGGTGACCTTGCAAGAGGGGTGTGATGTCCGGTTGGCCTTTCTGTTGCCCTTGATACGACACCTGCGAACGGCCCCCATGCTTGGGCCCGCACAATGTGCCTCCAGCCCGGAATCCCCTCCCGAGTCCACGGTCCCCCTCTGCCCGAGGCGCCAGCACCGACAAACAACGGCGCATCAGCATCTCTGTACTACATACAAGCATGTGCCGGGGTGACCCCCCCTTAGGAAGAAGGGCAAGAACCAAAATAAAACTCGAGAACTAGCATCGCAAAAAGGCCATCGTATTGTGCTGTTGTTACACATGTGAGACGCAGCATGTGCAGTCGCTGTTTGGGACACCATGTACAGGAGGAAGTGGGCGGGAGAATGCAAGATCCCACCAGCACCGTCCAGCATGCGGAGTAGTGTGTGTGTGTGTGTGTGTGTGTGTGCGTGTGTATGTGGGTATGTGCGTGTGGAGAAACACGCAGATGTTGAGGACACAAACACACACACACACACACACACACACATGGCGGCGATAAACACAAGAAAGAACACACCGCCGCGCGCCGCTTGCCGCACGCGCAAAGCGGAAGGTTGAAGATACACACAAGGGAAAGCCGCAGCATGCCCCCTTCGCAAAATGGCTGAGAGGGCGTGTGCAGAGAGCAACAAAGGGTTGTGGTGAAGTGGGAGAGAGGCGTAGATTGGGCAAGCCAGAAGGACAGAGAGAAGCCGCGCGCGGGCGCATGGGCAGGGGGAGGAGAAGGGAAGGAAGGAAAGGGAGGACAGAGGAGGGGGAGAGGGAGAGGGAGAGGGAGAGGGAGAGACAGAGGCAGAGGCAGAGCCAGCCCAAGGGAAGGGGGGGGGGAGGGGGGAGGAGAGAGAGAGGGAGAGCGTGCAAGCACATGACACAGTTTGCATGACACCACACACCGGCACCTCTCTCGCCTGCCTCTCTGTTCACCGTGTTGATCACGGAGAACGAACACACCACACACCGCCGCACATGTCCGCTTGCTGCTTTTTGGCCGGCGTGCTGCCATCGCGGTCCGGCCCCCCGTGCTTTCAACTGCATGCGCGCGAAAGGGAGGGGGAGACCTCTCTCTCTCACTCTCCTCACGCACACAGTCGCCCTCCCGCTCGCCTCCTTCGGGGCCATTCGTCTACCGTATCGTCCCCCCCCGGGAATGCTGCACACACTCACACGTGGGGTACGTACGCGCGTATGGAAGGACTGTGCCGTCTCTCCGACACCCTTCGCGCGTGCAAATGCGCGTGCGCGCAAAAGCAGCACCTCAAGAGGAGCAAGGGAGAGGGGGGAGGGAACGAACAAGGAGGAGGAACACACAAATGGACAGGGAAGACAGGCCGAAGGGACGGGGTGATTGCCATCCCCCCGGCGCCTTGGATTCTTCCCATGGGCCCGATGTGCGCCCTCACCTTCTCGGCCAAAGGACACTCCCCCCCGCCCCCCCCCCCCCCCCCCCAACTCCAGTCACCTTGCAGGCGCCGGTGGCGGCGGCGGGGGCTGGGCAG